TTTAAGACACGTTTTTAGTTCGCAGGACTGCTGCTTATCACCGCTCCCACCCGCAATGAGCTTTTAGTATTTGTCCTGCGCCGCACTGCTTTGCATTGCAGGACTCCAGCAGGAGTGCAGGGCTCTAGTATGTGACACTGGGAAATGCTGAGTTTCCTTAATGTGGACTGAATTCATTTTAATTTGTCAGCATTGTAAAGTAAGTCCTTAGAATGTTTTTAGGTGAAGAAGCCCACTCTGACTGCAGGAGGAATTAAACCAGCAACCGGCTGCTTTATGATTGTAAATGAATGTGTCTGAAAAGCATTTAAGCTGCTTGGTGGTGTCACATAGAACTGTCCATCGATACCTTCTCAAAATCTTAAATCCGCAAGGAGAGCTGAAGCTTCTGTAATGACCTGAGATTAAAACAAACAGGAGCGCAGAGCTGCTCATTAGCTGCTGACAGATCCAGGTAGAGAAGCCGGCAGAATCCAGGAATCAGTCCAGAACAGATCAGACTAACAGAGAAGACGGGCAAAGCAAAACTCTGGATCCATGGGGCAGAAACCGGTCTCAATCAGGAAAACACAACAAGATACAGATCGCTAGTTAATCTCATCAAACTGTTAGAGTAACCTGCCGCTGACTTAAGGCAAGCACGTAACCCCTTGCTCACATTGGCTCCGGTGTGGTTACAGAGCCGACGGAGACCGCAACTCCCGCACACCCCCTCTCACACCGTCCTTTTGACTACGGTGCGGTGCGGCTCTGCGACTCCGGCAACAGGTCCGGAGATTTAACTCGCGAGAACAGAAGTTCACTTGAGTTCACGTAACTTCACGCGATAACACGGCCCTAATAAGGATATTTGCGAGAGCTTGTTGCGGAGGGCTCCGGCACGCCGCAAGGATAGCTTTCTTGCTGAATTTTCTGCAGCGCCGGAGTGTCTCCGTAACCGCAGCCGGACAGCTCAGCAGCCGGTGAGAGAGGTTTACGTCTTTTTAATGACTTGGAATCACTGCAGAGCCGCACCCACCGCACCGCAACGTTAAGACCGGAGTCGGTGTGAGCCAGGGGTCACATAAATTGTTGAATAACCAGGTGGAAATGATTGGGGTAATCAGCCGCAGGACCAATTAGACAGAGGAGCAAAGAGGAAAGCGAAAAACCGAACCATCAGCGCAGAGATCATGACGGTTTCAGAATGGTTTAAAACGACCAGGTTTCAACTTCATGCAGCATGTCGATTCATATGAAAAACTAAAACCAAACAGAATCTGTATTAATAGAGCTGTTGACGAATTTTCGCGTATAGTCATATCGCTGCATGTTTACTCCACAAGTAATAACCCCAGGGTTATAGATGGATTTATTGATGAAGTGAAAAACAGGAGCAGAACTCCAACACATATCATGTTAGACTTGGGTACAGAGAACTGTTCAGTGGAACAGATGCAGATATTCTTAATAAGTAATCATGAAGACCAGTTTTGTGAGAGATTCTACATTACAAGCTCAAGTAAGCATAACCAAATAGATACGATCTCATAATTACGAGATATTATCTCGTAATTACGAGAATAGATTATGAGATTTACTGATCTCGTAATTATGAGATAAGCTGTCAGATTTTTTTTTCTTTGGTTAATGCAATACGGTTCCGTAGAATGTATTCCTAAAATCAGAAAAAAAAAAATCATTTATGTCAAAATGACCATTTCAAAAACATGACTCTCTTCACATCTAGAATAAACATTTTGAATGTCAGCTTTGGTCAGTATTTGTATTATTTCTTTTTTACTTCCTAAAGTTAAGTTTCCTCTGAAAAAAATTTAATTAGAAAATAAATTATTACAGTTCAGTCTAGGAGTGTGATTTTAAACAGAAAGACTCTTGTTTTAGTGATCCACAAATGGACCAATGGCGAGGAGAGTGCTTTTAATAGATCTTATAAACTTTTAATAAACTTATGCATACTGTAAACTCAGCAACAATCTTCTCCTTTGCAGCTGTAGTACATTTTTCTGTCTTTTAACCTGTGGACCCTTGCGGACGAATGGAGTATAAACAATTGAAGAATGGGTTTATAAAACGGCTTCTGGATGCCTTCAAAAGTGTGTTGTTGTGGCTGCTTTGTCATGTTTACATTTTGGCATGCTGCTATATCTGTGTTAATTGTGCTTTGTGCTCACTGTGTCCATAAAATGAACTTGGTGGTTGGTGGTTGTGGAGAACCTAAGCTTTCCAACGATGTCTAACATGTCTATTAATTTAGAGATGCAGATTTGAATCTTTGTTTGTTAAACCTGCTTTGTGAAACAGACCCTAGCACACAAAAACCAAAGCTGAGGCATTGATTATCACTGAAGAAAGTGGGGGTTGGAGGGATTGTGATTTCAGATTCTAAGCACCTATAATTAGGTCATAGAACTCATTCCTAAGAAATTACATGAACACTCTCATGATTAGAATGTTGTTATGCATAGCCCATAAACAAAAAAACAAAAAACAAAAAAAAAATGTAAGAATTGACAAATAATCCCAGATAGCCTGTTCTGTGGTTGCCATAACCAGGATGACTTATTTATGCAGGGATATCCCGTTAAAAGCAAAACATAGTAGTTTGTGACTGTACTGTTACTTACCCACTATAGAGATATATGCAAGTTGAGATGTTTGCTTTATTGAGGTTTTACTGTTAAAGGCCCGACAGCTGTAGTTTCCACTCTGATTCCTCTGAACACTGATTAGCTTGAGCTCATGTTCAGAATTCGGTAGATTTTTTCATTTAGTAACCAACTAAACATGGCAGCAGGTCTGGAGTCAGCCGAACAAGTCAAGGTGATGTCTGAACCTTCCACATATAGTTTATGAGATTCAGGGTTAACCTTTAATGTGACTTTTTCTGGGCCATCTGAAATTGCAGAAAATTATCATTTAATATTTAATGACAATTAACTAACTTTATACACTAACATCTCAAACACATTACTAATGCAGTACTAGCTTAACATCAGCTTTATCCTTTAAAGCTAAAAAGTTAATGTTACCAAAATATGAAACTGAATTTGAAGCCTATATGATCGCTGATGTTAAATCGGGAAAAGACTGATCTATATTCAACTGATATGTTTTATAAATCTGATGTTTTCAGAATCACCCTAACAAAAAATGTATTTGCGGATATTTTCCAAAAGTTTGAAGAAACAGCATTACAGTTGTTAATTTTCTTTCTTAAAAATAAGAAATTATCATATGTGAATAACTTACAGCTGACAGAGAGGAATACTGGATCACTGTTGGCATTGCTCACAGGATTGGACACTTGGCAGCTGTATGATCCCTCGTCATTTCTGGTCACATTGACAATAGTCAGAGTGGATCCTCCATCAGTAATCTGAACTCTGTCACTAGCTGTAATCTCAGAGGAGTCTTTTATCCAACGGAAGGAGAGAGATGATCCAGACGAGGAGCAGACGAAGCTGGCAGATTTATTAAACTCAGTCAAGTGGGAGGATTCTGGAGTAACTTTTACGTTAAAGACGGGATCTGCAGGTGGAAAAAAATAATAAAATGAATCAGGAAAACAAAGAAATCTAGGTTTTATTCAGGAAATTATGTTTACACTTAATACTTGGTATAAACTGTTAAATAATGTATAGAAAGTTATTAGGAAAAAATACAGGTTTAATAAATAGAAAACAAACACTTTTCTTTTTTTTCTGTTAAAATCTGTTTATTGTCCAACAATGGGGAACGCTCTGCATTTTGACCCATTCCCTTGGGGAGCAGTGAGCTGCCATAGTGTGGCGCCCGAGGAGCAGTGTGGGGTTAAGGATTTTTGCTCAGGAACCCAGAGTGCAGGATGTGGGGATTGAACCAGGTATTTGCAGCCTTCTCAGAGAACAAGTGCACTACTCTAACCACCCATTTTACCACTGTAAGGGTAAAATATATCAGATTTGAAAGGACCTGTTTCATTATCTTCTTAACTAATTCACAGTGTAGACCAAAAAACAAACCAAAAATAATTCATAATCCTGGTTTATCTACATTTTCTGTCTTATACAAACCATTATTAATGTCTTTCAGTGGCCTAGTCAGACTTCTGACTCCTTCAAAGTCCCAGAGTAAATCAACAAAGGCAAATTGTCGAAATCAAGTAAAGACATACAAAACAAAAATGAAAGGCACAGCAGGATTGATGTGACACACAAAATACTGCGTTTAGACTTAAAACATCTTGAATTTACATGCAGGAGCAGTGTACATGCAAATTCTAAAGTGGACATAAGGGGTGCTGAGAGGTCCAGGGGCCCGTTTTGACCTGGTGCAATGTGTCTTAAAACTGTCTGAGGATCAGATCGATATGAGCTTTCAACTACTGACCAGCATAACAAACATCCAAATTGTCAGATTCATGAGTTGTAACAGTTAAACCTTTGCAGTTTGATTAGCTGCATCAACCAATGAGAGAAGCTAATCTGATTTACTTAATCACATTTATTGCATTCAAGCCATATCTCTTCTCCTGCTCATCTGTCAGCATAAAATCATCAAAAAAGAACAAGAACAGATGTTTAACGAGTGAGTACACAGGTTTACGTAAAAAAACAACAACAAAAAAAAACAGATGAATGTTGTCACGGTTGAGTGGAGGTTTTTGAGGACCCAAATGCAAAGATCAGGAGGCAGAGATAAATCTTGTAGATTTAATGATATAACTGATTCAAAATTCAAAAACACAAAGGACCAAAAGGCCAGAAAACATCAGGGAAAACTCATGTGAGGTGCCAGAGATGAAAAAGCAACTAAACAACAACAAA